CCCCCGCCCCGCTCCCTCTAGCATGGTGCGGGGCCGCCGCCGACATGGGCGAGAGGCTGGAGCTCCGGCTGAAGTCGCCCGTGGGCGCTGAGCCGGCCGTCTACCCCTGGCCGCTGCCCGTCTACGTGAGTACCGCTGGCCTGCGCTCCCCTTCCCCCGGGCACGAGGGGATGTTTCCTCCCCCTTTCCCCCAAATCCATTGAGCATCAGACCAGGTCCCCGCCACCCCAAATCCACTGCACATCCGACCTGTTCTGCCTCCCCGATCCCGTGTGGTTTGGGGCTGGGGTCCTGCCCCTCCTGGGGGGGCTTCAACTTCTGTCCCTGAACTCATCTTCTCCCCCCAGCACTTAATGCGAAGTTTTCACGTTCTCCTTGAAGAGCTGCCTAGTTTTTTTTTGGGGGGTGGTAACCAAAAGCCGGCTGGAGACGGATGGGTACTTCTGTAACCGTGCGGGGGGTTCATCCCTTGGCGGCTCATGTCGCCTCTGTCTGCTGGCGGCTGAGGTGGAAGTGTCTTCCCCGGGCTGGGGTTGGGGGAAGGAGGTGAATGAGTGGGGAGAGAAAGCCTCGACCCAAAGGGAGAAACCGCCTCGAAATCGCTACTGCCTGCCGTCGAGACCGTGGTGGAAAGCGAATTTGCACGAACGCTTGTGCGTTTTGTCCGAGGAGAACGTGTTCGGTTGTCAGTTGACCGTGTTGCAACCCTCCCTCTTGAGTTGTCGGGGGCTGCTGCTTTTTTTTGGCAAAGCGACACGGCCTTATTTTCGGCTGAATCGGAGAGGCAGTGATGACCCCTGAAAACCATTCATTTACTTAGGCGGCTAGAAAACAGCACGCCAATCGTTTATCCTGAGCATCAAATGTTTGTTCTCCTTTTTTTATTTGCCAATCCCCAAACTCGGAGAGAAATTTTGTACGGAGAAAATGGGGCAATAGCAAGTAGCAGCCTTTTAAAAACGGTTTTGGATACTGTTGCCTCTCCCTAGCCTTGTGGGGTTTGCCTGTTTGTATCATAACACAGGGAGAACATACTGGGACTTAGTCATGTTGCTCTTTGGCAACCGGGCTATGCTTGTGTGTAGACGATTAGAAATATCTTGCCTGTTGTGGGGGCAGCAGAGGTATATTATCTCCCTCCTGCTGCTGTTGATAGTCCTGTGGTTTCCAAAATAGCCTTCGTATATATGAGTGCTTAGCGTTTTTGATCGTCCTGCTCCAGAGCCGGAGCCCTCCAGCACACACGAGTTAATGCAGCCTTTCCTGTTTGGGCAGCTCTGTCATTGTGCGCGCGCGCGCGCTGTGCTTAAAATTGAGAGAAACTGGACGTTATAATGGTGACCAGCTTAGTTGTCTCCTTGTAGCCCAGTATTTGTTTCTGGAAGAGGATTGCATTAAATGTAGGTTAAGCGTAGTCAGGGAGCACAGATTGGGGTGGATCTATATACACACACAACTTCATGTAAAAAAGCTGCGTTGAATGCTGTTTCAGGTTGGGAGCTGGGGATATAGAAAGAGTTTATCTTGGGGAAACAAGCCATTATTTATAGATTGCATGCCTATATTTGTTAAAGATGTCTGTGGGTGTAAATTTTCTCCGGTTTATCAAAATGCAGTGGGCATCAGTGCGTATCTGCATATGTTGAGAAATGCAGCAGGATCCAAATGTCCTGTCATTAAAGTGACCTCTCTGGGTTGCATGTTTTTTTTTTTTTTTCTCCCCATAATGATACAGAAGTGAATCATTCATCTGAAGCTAATCAAAATTGTCCTGCAGCTCCGTTGAAAAGATCACGCTCCATAGCTTACACACGTACAACTGGCAGCTTTGGCCATTGCAGCAAAGAGCTCTGAAGCTGGAGAATGCAATGTCCAAAGACCAGGATTTCTGTGTCTGGCCTGCTAGCATTGTACTGTATTGAACTGTAGACTCTCTTTCCCTCTTTGGCTCAGGCTCCAGTTGGCAGCAGAGTATATGTACCGTTGTGGTTTTAGAGCTCAGCTCTGTTTGACGTAAGCAGAACATTTCTTAGTTTCACCACTACACTTGCTGCTTGGTTTCTAGGAAGCAAGGTGGCATGACTACAAAAATACCATACCTGCAACTTCTTCTTTTTTTAAGAAGCATGTTGTCTTGCATTTCCCCAGGCTTGCTATTTCCTCTCTGTCTCAGTGTCGTATGATTTCTAAAGAGGGGAGGAAAGATCATTACCTGCTCATAATTTTTCATGAGTGCCATATGAATGTTGGAACAATTCTGTTTCCAGTATCAAAGGTGAACTGTTGTGGCATTGCTGTCTGATGGTACTGGTTGTTACCAAGTCCATAAAGATACCTGTGTGCAAACATTCTGTCACTAAATCCAGATTTCATCACAAGTTAGTAAAGTGTTTCTGTAATGGTGTAAAAGCCTTAGATTAGACACTTTTAGATTTTAAGGGGTGACTGAATTTATGGTGTAATTTTATTTTAAGGACTATTGTTTCTTTTATATTCATTAGGAAAACTGAAATCTCCTCAGACTGCTGAATTTGCATTAATAGCTGACAAACCACTGCTTGTCATGATGTTAAAAGAACCAGGGAGGGTGATGTGAAACCTAGATTTCCTTACCAGACTAATTAAGGTCGTGGGAGGAGAGAGCGTTGGTGTTACAGATATAGCCTCCCACTGGCTTACATACAAAACTGAAAGTATGACTCTTTCCCCCGCCTTCTGCCTTCCTCAAAGGAAAGGCCACAGCGTCTAATGAATGCATGGTGAGCAGTTCTGTCCGTAACACCCTGTGATGAGTAAGTTGAATAGTGCATAGTGAGTAATCTCCCCTCGTGACTCAGAAAATATTTTCTGATGATGTTGATCTCTGGCTTTTTTTATGACTGCCCTGCTTAATCAGAGCCTAAGTGGGTTTACGCTTCTGCATCGCAGCTTAACTCCTTGACTCCCAAATACCTGCACCAAATTGGGCCGACATTAAATTCTCAAGGTTTGATAATGCAGGCCTTGGATTCTGCTTTGCCCCTTGTCTATCATTAAAATAAATGTCTAATTAATATAAATTCTTTAATAAATCTAGGCCCATTCTAAATGATCAGGTAAGCTTTCCTTAATAAATAAATCTACTTGCTCTTTACCATGCCAGTTGTTCAAACTATAGATTTCAGATGTGTTGGGTACTGCATAATTATAGATGGTTACCCCTGCTAATATTTCAGATTATTGGTTTGAAAACGTATCTGCCTACGAACTAGAGATGGATAAAGGTTGGGGTCTGCTTACAATCTCTCAGCTTGCTGAAGTTTAAGTTGGGGGGGGGGGTTGTTCTTACTCCTCCTGGCACCTTGGTCTTTTTGTGTATCTGCCTCTAGTTAATGGGTAACAGGTAAGTCTGAAACTGCCCTCTGCCCCACTGAAGTTGTTGTAAAGAGGAATTAGGGCTAGATCCACAAAAGGACTAAAGTGCCCAGTTTCAGAATTTAGATCTCTCTGGCCTTAGAGCCGTAGGCACCTACGTTTTCAGTGCAGTGCTGAAGTTCCCAGAGGCAGCCTGAATCTTGCCAGTACTGAGCAACAATGCATCACTTGCCACACACTTAAGTGCCATCAAGATGCAAAAGGAGATGGTTTTCTCATCCTGCCTGAGGTGTTCAATCTGCTAGGTATTTTCAGAGCATGTTGACCAGCTAGGCTCTGCACACAACCTGGAAGTGGCTGTGGTTCCCTTCAAATGCAGGAGGAGGTGCGGTGATGGTGCTTCTCCTTATGTGGTAGGGTCTCCTGGTTAGAGCACTCCTCCAGGTCTTACTTGGATTCAGTTCCTGCCTGTGAGTAGGAGGATTCAAACCTCCATTTCTTACTTTCTAGGACAGCGCGTTTATCCCCAGCCTACAGGCTGTCCCCAGTGTAGGGCCACTCCCTTCAATTGAAACTGCTCAAGTTTGCACTTTTACCTCCCACAGGTGTTTGTGGCCATGTAAGGAGTAGACATTACAACATGGTTAATACATGGAACTATCTGTAATTACCTGTAATTATGAGATGCATTTTTCTGTATGTGATTCAGGGAATGGATCTTTCTCATCTCTTGAGAGTTGTATGGGGGCAAGTGAGAGTACCAGTGGGATATAGTACTCAGCCAGTATGACTATTGGTTATTTATATGCTATGGTGGTCCTTAGGACGCCGTAGACCTGGGCTCTACTTTTCAAGACATTGTCCAAACCGACAGAGTTATGCTTCTGATCCTTTCAAATTTTTGTTTTCATGCTCAGAGCTCCACTGTGTAATTACTAAAACTTCAATTGCCCTGATCCCACCCTCAGGATGGAAAAAGTCTTGGGGTGCCTTTGATTCAGCCTTCTATCAAGGTCAAGAATCCTCTAGTATAAACTGGTGAAGCTTTAAACCTCAAAGCTAGCAGCTGCTGTGATCATGATAAATCTGGGCTGAATAATCTGAGAATAATTTGCTGCTTTGTTTTTGCATATTTGCTATCTTTCCAGTGTGCTCAGATGGCAAAAAATATCCCATTGGTCAACTGAATGTTGTCATAGCATTGCTTGTGCAGCTGCTTGAGGGAGGCATATATGTGTCTGTTACTACAGAGTATTGAAATGCAGGCCGAGTGATAGTAGTGACTCTGTTTGCACAGGTGGGTGGGTGCATGGGTTTTTTTTTTGCTTTTCTTTCTAACCAAGTAGGAAGTCTAGGCTGTGACACAAATTATGTCATTTTGCCTCTAATGGAATGTGTTGTGCACTGAAAGTTGAGAGGAAGGCATTGATCATTAAAATTGCAACCCAGAAATGAATGTCATCTTTAGAATGGAAGGTTAACTATGAGATGAATAACAACTCCTTTTTAAAAGCTTTTGCCCACCCTGTGCAATGCAGCTCTACCTGGAACATAGTTTTCATATGAACCATCTTGCTTGATGGTTAGGAAACCTCGCTTGCTGTAGGAGTAGATTCCCAGTTGAGCTGTGTGCAGTTGCTCAGTTTTGGTAATGGGAGTCATGGCAGGAGGGTGGTTGTTTCATGGTGCATATGTCTGACTACTAGAAGCACTCTTTATAGTAATGGTGACCCATGAAGGTGGGAAACATCAGAGCTGAGCTCATATTTGT